TAACAGCTCCTACCTCCAGGCAATAAGATTGCTGAACAGCCCACCTGCAGCTCCTTCAGCAAATCACCTGTAATGGCTACAGGGACTCACAGTTTTCACTGTATTCAGCATAACTGCACTACTTGGACATAACGTACTGCACACCCCCTGGACAGATCGCAGCTCTGTTGATATTGAGCCCGGTTCATTTTATTCAGTTTCTATTGCGCTCTTATGGTCACGGTCCCCATCCTCTCCGCCAGAGGGCGCTCCAACCTCCTCGCATTAGTTCTCTTAATGAGTGCCTGCGGTATTACCTGGTGTGCCTTGTTTCAGCTTCACTATTTAAGTATACTCCCCCGCCCCCAACCTCCTGTTAATGCTTCCCGACCCACTGAGCTCTGTATTTCTTGGTCTCTGGTTGTCTCCCGATGGATGTCCCGGCTATGGACTGCTTCATGACTTCCCTTTGGACGTCCCTGGATATCTTTGCCTACGGATTTTCCCTACTTCACCGTAAGCCCCAATAACCCCCCGTGTGTGTCTTCCCTGAACCCTGTCTTTTCCCCGAATCGCCGCCTGGCGTGGCGGGGGGTCTAAACTCCACTCTCCACGGGAGACCGATCCGGCTTCCGTGACGATCATGTCTTCTGTAACCTCCTTTTGTAACTTTTTAAACTTGTGACAATAGCCCTGAAACTATTCAGCATGTGTTTTGGTTATGTCCCGGGGTAAAAAAATGTTCTGGATTAAGTTGCAGACTTCTATTTACAAAAAAAAAAAGAGACCAATAGTGATATTTGTTTTGATGGGAAAAGTTTCAGCCCCATCGAAAACAATATTAAAATTGTTTGTACTAAATTTAATTATTATAACGGCACGTTATTATATACATAAAATGAAGTGGTCTGGAAAGAACCCTTTGTTTGAGCATTTTAAACTGGATGTACGGGGGTATTTGCAGATTTCGAAGCGCAAAAATCTGAAAGCGGTGCGGACATTATTTCAATTTAATGCGTTTAATCTTTTTTCATAACTTGAATCCATGTAGTAATATGGACCCCTGACGATCTTTTTGTCTTGAATTGTTATATGTACGCTTGTTTGGATTGTAATTTTGTGTTCTTTTGTTAAGCATAAATAAAAACCACTTTAAGTTTGTCCCCCTCCACCGGTGAGCCCGCAGAAAAGACGTTTCGTTGCCCGCAAACTACTGCTGCCCGCTGTGTCGTTGTGCATTTAATTAAACTTTGGCAAAAAAAAAGTAACCCCGATTACTGAACCTCCGCCATGCTTCACTGTAGGGAAGGTGTTTGAAGGCTTCATTTTGTTTTCTGTAAACCGGGAGGCGGCTCTAATCTGGTCTCATCTGTTCACCGGACCCGCTCTTCCTCCTCCCAGGAGGATTTTAGTATATTCAGGTGTGTTTTGGCAAATTGCACTCCGGCTTTTTGGGGGGTTCGTGTAGTAGTGGGGGGAACCTGCAGTCTGGGATCTGTTCTACAAAATACTCAACCGAATCAAAGTGCGACTTTTTTTTACGTTTGGTATTTTCCGTCGATCATTTAATTGCTATTTTTTTTGGTGCCGTTTTAGTTTGTTCTGTTGTGCGTCGTCAATAAAACGTGTGATGGGTTAAGTCCACGCTGAAAAGAGGAGAAAGAAAACGGCACCTTTTTCGGCTTTGGGGCCGCCCTCGGCAGTAGGAAATAAAACGTTTTCTTTCAGAAGCCTAAGGTGTGTTTCTTCTATTTTTAAAAGCAGTTTTGCAAACTTAAAAAAAAAAAAAGTTCTGCTGACCGAAAATAGTGTCCCAGACCAACAACCTCAACAATATTTTATTTCTTCTGGGCAGAACCGGTTCTGAATATCTGCCTTCTCAGCAGGACTGGCCTACGTCTGGATCAGAACCAGGTGAAACAGCCAGGCTTCTCCTGCACATCACAGACACAGCCGTTCATACTCATATCTTGTCCCCCCTATTATCTGGCAGAAGGTTCCGGATGCTCCAGTCGCACACAGCTCGACTCCAAAATAACTTCTTCCCCCGAGCCGTCAAGCTGGTGACGCCCCCACTCCCTCCCATCGTCCTCTGACCTCTCCTCGCTTCCTGTACCCCCAATGACTGTACCACTACACCCACGACAACCGAGTGTAAGCCGAAATTGTACTATTTATCAATCGCTACTATTTCTGCACTGTTCGCCCAATTGCTTTTGCCCCGTTTGTCTACTTTTCTCGGTTTGTGCATTTGCGCAGTTTCTGGCAGTTGTGCACTGGCACCAGACTGTCGTTTACACTGTTATTGTTCCTGTCTGCTGTTCAAATCGAAGTGTATTAATCCAATGCACAACAATACGGCATGCAGCAGCAGCAACAGTAGTAGTTGCTGGCAATAAAATGTCTCTTTCTGTGAGCTCATAAGAATCACAAAGTTGAGGTAACATTTTTTAAATTGAATAAAACTCAATATGAATAGAGCTGTTGTGTGTGTGTGTGTGTGTGTAATATATACATGTAGTGCGGTTATGCTGAATACAGTGAAAACTGTGAGTCCCTGTAGTCATTACAGGTGATCTGCTGAAGGAGCCGCAGGTGGGCTGTTCAGCAGTCTGACTGCTGGAGGTAGGAGCTGTTCCGTAGTCTGTTGGACTTGGACCGAAATGCTTCAGTACCGTTTATGGGATGGGAGGAGGGACAACAGTTTGTGACTGGGGGTCCTTGAGAACGGACCTGGCCTTCTTCAGCCATCTTCTATTTATACACTGAGACACTAATGAGAAACACTATTCACTATACTCGTGTAAGTATGATTCACTATAGTGGTGTAAGGACGATGACAAAGTTCAACTGGAATCCTCCGTCCTGAAGAAGCAGGATAGCCAGGGGTCAGACTTTTCCATGATTTGACCTCCACATGCTGGGCAGGCCTGAGGAAGATCCGGTCCAGTGAGGAGGGGTGGGAGGTCTGTCCATCTCGGGAGTGATCGCAACCAGGTCCTCTTAATTGCTCCTATAACCGGTAAGTTGTCTAGTGTTTTCTTCATTTCTTTTGAATTTTTTTCTCTCTTCACTATACACCAAGTGGCTGGAGAGGGGAAAGTAGTCCTTATCACTTGGAACAAGTAAAGGTTTTTTCTTCCCTTTTCAGCATTGAATAAAACTTTTACTTGTTACTTTGCAGTCCACTTATGCTACTTGAATAATTAATAATTCTATATTAATTAATTGTATATTATGTTAATATTATACTGTCTTTATAGAAGTATTATATACTTATATAAAGCCTACTTATGCTACTTGAAGAAGAATGATTGTATATTATTGATTTTAATTATATATTATTATACTGCCTTTATTTTATATTATATACTTACATAAAGCCTACTTATGCTACTTGAATGATAATTGTCTAATTGATTTTAATTATTATATATCATGTTGATATTATACTGTCTTTATTTTATATTATATACTTACATTTATATTATGTACTTGCACAAAGCCTACCTAGGCTACTTGAATAATAATTCTGTCGAATTGATTTTAATTTTTATATATTATGTTAATATTATACCGTCTTTTTATATAAGTATTACGAATAAGAAGACTTTTATTCAAGAAACCAGCTCAACACGGAGAAAAACAATAACACACTTGATCACTCCGCCTCTTCACTCTATCCCAGGAGAAACTCAGAGAGCTTGAGAGTGAAGGATTAATAGGCTGAGCTCCTTTCCCAGGATCACAGATTGTCCAGGCCCTGACCTCCACTCAACCCCTAGGCTGTTAGAAAGAGGTTCTTTGCCCTAATTGGGTGATTTGAATGTGACGGTAGCAGACCAATGCGATTTGAATAGGCTACCCTAAAGGAGACCATAGAATTTGAATAGAGTTTGAATAGAGCAGATATATGAAGGCAGGTTACTTTTACACCAGAGTCTGGGATTAAGAGGTTCTGAGAACTGATAGGACTTTAAGGGCTCGAGGGTCAGTGAGATGATATCACACTGACGTAAATCCCAGAGCTGGGAGAGAGACAACGTTCTTCTCAGATGGAGACAGGGAGTGGGATCGAGACGGTTCGTTCCTAAGAGGGCAGAGGGACAGAAAGCTCGACACAGACTGGTAATTCCTAGAAAAACAGCGATGGTGGGCCTCTTTTTCTGCTGTTGACTGGAAACTAGAAATGGAATTGCTGCCAGTGACAGAGGTTTAAAATGAGGCTGCATTTGACAACACGCAACAAAACTACAGAGACATGCTGTGCTGTAATTAAAAATCAATCGGTTCTGTTGATATAACAGCATGTACACTTAAACCATTTAGTCAACATACCGTGCTCTTTTATTCGGTGCATGTGAACCTAGTCCTAACCTAATTTATCTGTGTTTGCAGGTCCGGGGGCTCAGAATCATGTTGAGGAATGTATATCTCACCCTGCTTTGTACAGGTCAGTGTCACCTATTATTGACCTTTTCATTCTTAATTATAATAATAATGATAATTGCTTACACTTATATAGCGCTTTTCTGGCCACTCCACTCAAAGCGCTTTACAGGTCATGGGGATCCCCTCCACCACCACCAGTGTGCAGCCCCACCTGGATGATGCGACGGCAGCCATAGTGCGCCAGAACGCTCCCCACACACCAGCTCTCAGTGGGGAGGAGAGCAGAGGGATGAAGCCAGTTCATTTATATCTTGTAATGATCCCCCTGAGAAGGAACTTGATACTGAAGTCCTATTCTTGTGACATCACTTTATGAAACCAGTATGACCTCCGTCCTAACCAGTACAACTGCAGACAAGTAAGAATCTCCCCCATGAACACAAGAAGGAGGAAGACCTGACCAGATCATTGGAGTTAATCCCATTTTTTCCAGTCCTGTGTGATGGCTTGAATTGGTCACGCATGACTTTCTATTCCCTGTATGCGGGCCAGCTTTGAGCAGAAACCACAATGCTGTCATTGTGTCAACACTCAGACACCGAACTTTGCAAATCTTTATGGCTTCACAGCTGAATATTAAATGCAAATTGGAAGTTATTTGCATCCTGCAAGCTCCAAGAGTAGATTGCATAGATGCTCAAAATAAAGTCCTGCTTGAAACTCTTAATGTTAAGCTCAGACGTTGGGGATGAATACTTTGATGAGGTTTATATCGATGATCATCAGCAATGAGTCCACGAGCCACCTGATTAGTCCAGATCGCACCCAATTCAGAGGATTAGCAGACTGTCTAAGCAGCAGAGGAAATACACAGAGATTCAGTTCCATATGATGATGACGACCGAAGAGGTTGAACATGGACGAGATGTGGGGTCTGCAGGGCAGGCAACACACCCAAACAAAGCCAAATGGGGAAGGCCGAGCCAGGAGAGGCTGCTTATGGAGAAGACTGAGGGGTGGATGTTGACACACAGTTAGAAACCGAACGCAATGCTAGGATACGAAGTTAAAAGCACAGAATTAAAATCGCAGGCAGTGGTATGTTTATATTGTACAACAGACTAGTAAAACAGTACTAAGGCGCTCTGGTATCGGTCTAGGAGGGATTTACCAGATCCATCCCGGGGAGTGTGTTGAAGGAACTGAATCTTTTCGGTCTTGAATATCGATGACCACGACGGGCCCCGATGCAAGGATTCAAGATCTGCAAGGGCATCGGGGCGTCGAGAGAGACTCGCAGGAAGATCTATGCACTTAATATCAACGCTTGCTCGAGTCCTCCTCTGTGTCTCTGGAGGGTTTGGGGTCACTGATGTGTCCTGTGTGTGTGTGTCTCTCTCTCTCTCTCTCTCTCTCTCTCTCCAGGGCTCTGGGGTGTCCCCTCCTGCTGCGCTCGTCAGTATCACTTTGTGAGCCTGGAGAAGAACTGGACCGAAGCCCAGAGTTACTGCAGGGAGAACTACACTGACCTGGCTGTGATTGACAGCCCAGAGGACAACGAGCAACTCCTCCAGACTGCGGGGAATCCTCTTCAATATGCCGGCTGGATAGGACTGTATTGGGACCAGTGGAGCTGGAAGTGGTCCATGGGGAACATCCGTCTTGACAACCGGAATGGATCGGATTTCACCAGCTGGGCTACAGGACAGCCAGAGAATTATGGAGGGAAAGAAAACTGTGGGATCATGGAAAGCAGGGGGCTGTGGCACGACTATCCTTGCAGCTGCTCCTTTTATTTCATTTGCTATCAAGGTGCGTTGCACGCGGCACAATCTGAGTTTGGGCCCGTTCTGAGGGGAGTTGTGCACGGTCTCCCATGGCTCGTCTGGCTCCTCGGTTTGTCTAGGGGGGCGATTCGGATGGCGGTCACCTTCTGGGTGGAGTTTGCATGTTCTGTCCAGGTCCTCCCTGGCGCTGGCCTGGTGAACTGGTGTGTGTGTGTGTGACCTGCAATTATCCGCTCAGGCTACAGTCCAATAATAGTCGAATAGCAATAGTAATAGTGAGTACAGTAATAGTGAGTCGAATGATGGAAGACAAGTTGAATTTCCCTCACCTGCAGCCCACTGCTGTGAGCTTTTGCGATTTGTTCTGTATTTAAGACACTTCCCTGGTGCAGTAAGAGCCCAAACGTTTGTATTAGATGCTGGCTGGGTGAACTGGTGTGTGTGTGTGTGTGTGTGTGTTGCGATAATTGGAAAGAGTAGCATGATGGGAGAACTGAATTTCACCTTTTGCCCGCTGCTGTGAGCTGCAGAGATTGTCTTCAAACCCATATAAAGCACTTCCCTGCTGAAATAAGAGCCTGTGCGCTTGAATTGACGTGACAATTACTGCACGCAAAGGCTTAACCCTTCAGTTGCTGGCTGCTTCCATGGTGCTAAAGTGCTCATAAAAAAAAAAAAATCACTCTCTGTATGTGGCCACTTGTACAAATCTTAATGGCCCATTTTTTTCCTGCAGCTCCTACAGTTGTGACTCCTATCTTTCCGACGCGTCAGTTGACAGAACTGACGCCAGGAGGGTCATTTCGGGGAGTTTAGGCTCCTCGGTTCTGGTTCGTAGCTTGGGGTGATCCAAAGAGATACTTCCTGAATCGACGCGACCAAGACCGTTACTCTCGCGAAACATTCTGACGCAGCGGTTGGAATGAATTTGAAGAGTCTGGATCCTTTAGACCAGGGGTGGGGAACCTTTTTTTCTGCCAAGGGCCATTTGGATATTTTATAACATCATTTGCGGGCCATTCAAAATTAGCCTGCTATATTTGGTCAAACATCTAATTAACTCACCCCTAATGGGATGGCTGGAGCTGCTTCTCTTTGGCGAGGCGTGCGATGTTAGCTGGCATTGATGATGTTGCTGCTCGCAACTGCTTTTCCGGGTTTGCGTCGGTCAGTCTGGAGCGCAGTCCATCAAACGGCCACTTGCTATCATCGAGTTCCCCGACGGGTTTTCCCTTCACCTCCATGAACTGCTTGACTTCATCCCGCAGTTCGTAAAACACAGTGTGTTAACACTTTCGCAACCTGTACACTCCCAGCCTGCCTGGCACTGACTGTCCTCTGAGTCACCGCAATACAGGCAGATGGGCCGCAGGCAGCTGGCGAGAAGCATGCGTGTCTGTTCCGTCATGTACTCGTATGTGTCCTGTCTATTCTGTAATGGACGTTCCTTGCTTGTCCCTCAAAATTTACGTTATGATTCACTTAATATAAATTTGTTGCTATGAAAAAAGCTTCTAGGTTTATTGAATTTCAAGTCCCGCCTGTGTAGGGCTGGGCAATATGGCCAAAACCATTATTCCGATAAGTTTCACATCGGTCGATATCGATTTTTATCACGGTAAATGTCAAATCATTATTTCTTTCAAGTTTAAAGGCAGATTTTTTTTTTCCTCCTGAGTGAAAGTTGAAGAAACCAGACAGTTAATTGGTAAATGAAACAACTCTTTTATTTTAAGAACACAACACTTGCCAAACAGCAGAAACATGAAACAAATCTGTTAGCTGCCCGGTCTGCAACACACACGCGCGCAGTATTTTGGGCACATGCGCATATCCTGCGCAACGCGTGAACATCCATCGAACTTTTGTTAAAATTATATCGCGGTAATTATCGTCATCGAAATTATCGCCAAGCTCTACGCCTGTGGTTGCCTTGGTAGGGCCAGACCAGATGGATGGGCTGGACGTTCCCCACCTCTGATTTCGACTCTCGGGTTTTGGTTCGGACTTGTTTTCACAGAGGGCAGCGACGCTGCAGGGAGCTACTTCCTGATAGAAACGAACAAGAACTTCACCGCAGCCCAGAGGTCCTGCCGGGAGCACCACACGGACCTGGCCAGCGTGAGGAACCGGAGCGAGAACGAGGAGATCCGACTGACGGCGCGGGGTAACTACGTCTGGATCGGCCTGTTCATGGAGCCCTGGAAGTGGTCGAGCCCGAGCAACCCCGCTTTCCGCAACTGGGCAGACGGCGTCCCTGACAATGCTGCTGGAAACGAGGACTGTGCTTCACTGTTGATGGCGGGCAGCTCGGCAGGGTACTGGAACGGCACCGGCTGCGATCAGAGGCTGCCCTTCTTCTGCTTCAGCGGTGATTCGATCGAGGGGTTGACGTGAGGGAGGGAGGACACAGCTGGTGTGATCTTGGGTGGGGGGGGGGGTCAATCTCGCGTTGTCGTGCATCTCGCTTCATCCAGGGAAATCTCACTCTTCCCCATCAGACCTCGCTTCAGCTCTCCAGTGATCTTTCTGGGTCTCTTACCCCCAAGGATATCAGAGAGGCACCTTCCCGAAACTCTTTCAGATCTGGACTCAAAACCTTCATTGGAAGGGCCTTTAATTAAAGGGGTTCTGTCATACACCCCCTGCTCTTACTGTATTCATTGTTTCTTGTTCTTGGTTCTTGTTTCTGGGTTCTCTCATTGTGTATGTTCTTGGTTCTTGTTTCTGGGGTCTGGGTCAAGTGCTTTTGTTCTCTGCTGGTCACTGTAGGGGGTGATCGTGACTCTCTCTGGTCCTCAGCCCTCCTTGTTGTCTGGATGCCGGAAAACAGATAAACTATCAAGCACAGTTCTTCCTTGATCTGTACATCGCCATATTTATCTTGTTCTCTCACGTTTTCTACCTCAACGAGAAGTGCCCTTATCCACTTCTCAGGGGTTTGATAATGCTGAGCTGGATCTTAAGACCCTGAACAAATCGGTTGCAGAATTAAGCGCCAAAATTCCCATCATTCCCAGGAATGTGGGGTTTTCAGACGCATCTAAATCCTGAGTCATTTCAAATGGTCTGGATCCGAACGGTCTCGACAGATGGCAACTGCAGTATCATAAAGTGCATCAGAGTGCTTCAGTAATTCTGAGAGGCTGGTTACCTGTCCATCTCTACCTCCACAGAGAAGAAGAGAGTGGTGATGCGTGTGGGACTCCAATTGGAGAAAGGGAAGAACCCTAATGAACCTGGAGTGAGAGAATCTCTCTTAAACCAGGTAGGTGCTGCCAGCCTTCAGAGCCAGGAATCCTGATCAGGGTTTTTATGTGCTTAAGTGTGACAGAGCTTGGACAGGGCTCATGTCTAACCTGGGTTAAGAGAGACCCCACTGAGTGTATTGAGTTGGCTAGTGTACAGTGTGTAGAATTATATATCTATATAATAAAGACAGTTTGAATATTACTGGATCAGTGATCAGTGTGGAGAATTATATATCTGTAATGATCAGGACTGTGCGAATATTACCGGATCAGTGTACAGTGGGGAGAATGATATATATATATAATGATCAGGACTGTGTGAATATCACTGGATCAGTGTACAGTGTGGAGAATTATATATCTATAATGATCAGGACTGTGTGAATATTACTGGATCTGTGTACAGACTGTACTAGTTACACTCAGGGTGATGGATCAGTATTGCTGGCTGGTGCTCCAGTCCAGATCCAGCCCTGCTCTCAGGCAGTCTGTGCTCTTCTTGTCTGTCCAGATGAGGGGGCTGCTGTCCAAGCACACTGTGATGGACAGAACCAGTTTGAAATGGAAAGAGCAGAAGGATGGGCTGGTTTTCCACCCTGAGAAAGACAAAGGTGAGATATGGGACCCCAGATTCACACAGTCACTGCAGAGTGTCTTTGTGGTGCTGAGTGTGGACTCACCACACTTTGATTACTGGTTTGTCTGGCTCTTCCAGTACTGAGTGTGTGTTTGCTCTCTCTGTTCAAGGTGTGTGTAATCTATAGCTCTATCATTAAGGTGTGTGTTGGGTACTGTTCTCTCAGTGAAGTATGTGTAGTGTGTAGCTCCCTCAGTACAATTGTCAAGGTGTACAGTCCAGCTCTCTCAGTATAATGTGTGTAAAATCTTTCACTTTTTTTACTGGTGAAATTGCCAATCTGTGTTGTTGTGTGTTGCGTCCACAGGGCAGTGTGACTGCAGAGGAGACAGTGCTCCAGTCTGACTGCAGTCTCCTCACTCTGGCTGTCTGGGATTGCTCTGGGATAACTGGAACACTGTTCTTTCATCTAACACTAAGAGAACGCTTTTATTTGGTGATAGTTTGAAATTTTGTTAGATGTCTTATTTATAATTTTTTTTATAGAAAACAAAATCTGTTAGACTGTGCTCCAGATAACACGCAGGAAGAGAGAAGAAAAGAAACACTTTCACTTGTTCCTGTAATGTCCATCAGCCATAGTCACTTTATTCACCCACTTTTAACTTAGTCAAGCTGACTGAGCTTATTTAGTCACATTTTAGTTCTACAGTTTAATGTTTGTATGAATAATGCATGCAGTAATAGTAAAGTAAAATAAAATGTATTTCTAAGAAATCGTTTAACAGATCAGATTCTAGCACAAAAGGCACCAGTCTTTTGTTGCACAATAAAAAGTGTATTGATATCTGTGGTCAAATAATTGTGCAATAAAGGGTTAAATGCAAACAGATTTAGATTAAATTGAAACCCAGAGATCACCTGGAAGGTTACATTTAAAACTAGACAAGTGAGGGGCTTTCAATAAGATTGTAATCTACGAAAGGCTGAATGCGATACAGCAGGCTTGTAACTGTCACACACCTCTTTCACCTGTTTCACTTCCTTTCTCAGACAACAGGAAGCTCA